TGAGCCGAGATCACACCACTTTACTCCAGCCTGGGCAACAGAGCGAGACTCTCTCACAAGAAGTAAAACTAAAAGAGTCAATGCAGCAAGAAGCCACGGAAGTGAGACACATTCCCAGCCATGAAATACAGGCTGACTCACACGGTCTCCACAGCAGCTGATGAGTTTTAAGGTGATTACCTCGCAGCAGGTGTGACAAAACCAATCTCACCGTGGCTATTACACTACGGTCACTGGGAATCTTTCAGCCGAGGGCTGTCACATTCCTGTCACTTAAAGCTCCCTCGCCTAAGCCTGAAAATGATCAGTAGGGTCTGAAACTTTCTTCTCTCTCTCCTACTCTGTGCCGAGTGTCTCACACATGTGTGTGTGTGTGTAAGAGGATCGTTGGGGTAAGGATGGAGAAAGAATAATTTATTGCACATTTGACAAATATTCATGACCCTAAGTGCCAGGCACTGTTTAAAACACTGGGAAGACATTGTGAGGAAACTGGATGAGGTCTCTGCCCTCATGGAGCTTATAAACTTGAAGGAATTATCTTGGTAGTTATAGTCAAAGCTTCCTTCCTTCCTGCTTTCTTCCCTCCCTTCCCCTCCCTTCCTCTCCCCTCCCCCTTCCCTTCCCTCCTTCCTTCATTCACTGATACACTTAATAAACATTCTGGAGTCAGACTGCATCCTAGCTTGGCTACTTATTAGCTAATGCAGCATTGGGGAAATTTCTTAACCTCCCATTCCTTCCCATCCAAAATGGAGATAGGAACAGGACACCCTCACAGGATAAGTCCCACAGCTTCGGGAAAAACCAGCACTGAGAAACAGCCGAGAAACTGAATTCAAGCAGGGCCTTGGCTCAAAGCCTGTTGACCTGGAGGGCTGAGGATGATGGATGAGGAGTTTGTGCAGATCTGAACGTGCTGTGTCCTTTGTCCTGGCTGCCTTAGGGTCCACCGTGTATCTCTGAGATTGATGAGGCAGGTGCACCACCCAGCAGGCTACACACCTTACAAGGCTGACCTTGGTTGGGGAGCATCATCATCATCCAATACTGTCTGTAGGACCTCATTCCAGCAAGACATCTGGGGGCCTGGAAGGGGGTCCCTCCCCTGGAGAATGTCACAGAATCCCTGATCTATGTCCTAAGAATACTCAGGTCCTTCTGTATCCTTTAGATAATTTGATTTATCCAAGGGTCTACTGTTGACATTTGTCCCTAAGTGGTCAGATTCATGGGCTTGATGAGGACATTCAGTGAGATCACAAGTCAAGAGCTTACTGCAGAGCTGCCACTTAAAAAATGCTAGTTATTCTTGTCCTTAAGCCCGTGCTAAGTGACAGGCATGTGCACATCCACACACACACACACACACATCCACAAATCCACACACATATCCACACATCCACACATCCACATATCCACACATTCACACACACATCCACACATGCACACATCCACACCCACACACACATCCACACACGCACACATATCCCCACACACACATCCACACACACGCACACATCCACACACCCACACATCCACACACACACATGCACACACATATCCTCACACACACACGTGCACACAGATCCACACCCACACACACACACACACACACACATATCCAGACACCCACACACAAACATCCACACACACATCCACACAAATAGCCACACACACATCCACACATGCACATCCACACACCCACATCCACACACACACGTGCACACAGTAAAGGTCGGTAAATGCACAGTGGTAACCATTGTTTCCGCAGCAGCACCATTAGGTAAATAAAAATAAATATATATTTAAAAAATTTTTAATTTGTATTTGTATTTTTAAATTTTTTGCATTTTTGTGGGTTTTTTTTAAACAAAGGGATCTTAAGTACTTAAAAGCAAGACTCATGTTTCTCTGTCTTCCTTTTGCTTTATTTTATTATTGTTATTTTGAGATAGTTTCTCACTCTGTTGCCCAGACTGGAGTGAAGTAGTACAATCTCGGCTTGCTGTAGCCTCCGCCTCCCAGGTTCAAACGATTCTTGTGCCTCAGCCTCCCAAGTAGCTGGGATTATAGGTGCACGCCACCACACGTGGCTAAATTTTTTGTAGTTTTGCTAGAGATGGTGTTTCACCCTGTTGGCTAGGCTAGTCTCGAACTCCTGGCCTCAAGTGATCTACCTGCCTCGGCCTCTCAAAGTGCTAGGATTATAGATGTGAGCCACCACACCTGGCCTCTGTCTCCCTTTTAAAACACAGGGAGGAAGGGATTGTTTCTGAATGCTCACGTATCATTTTAGTTTATTTCCAGACAAAAGGGAAGATATTTCTTAGCCATAAAGTGCAAATGTTCTAGAACCTTCCTCAGAGATGTCTCTGAGAAGGAATTATGCATGGGAAGCATTTAGCTCAGGGTCGGGCGCATGCAAAGGGCTGGAAAAATGACAGCTGTGAATATTGCAATTCATTTTATGCAGGGAGAGGGAAGGTCATATCATGTCCTAGTGAGAAGATGGGCTTTCAGGAGTTCGAGGCTGCAATGAGCTACGATGGCCTCACTGCATTCCACCCTGGGCGACAGACCAAGACCCTCTCTCTAAATAAGTAACTAAAAATGTATAAAGAATATGTTTAAAGGCAGAAAGAGCTGGGTCTGAACCCTAACTCCCCATTTACTAGCTGGGAGGCCTTGGGCAGGTTGTTTGATTTCTTCAAGCCTCAGTCTCCTCATCTGCAAAATGGGGTGATCACAGACTCAGCCTCTTGGCGTTGTGAAAAATCAGTGAACGAATAGGGGCGGGGCTTAGCACCTGCCTAGAAGGTTTGATGTTCCTGCTGGTTCCAGTGGAGTGTGGGTGGGGAGCTGACAGGCAGTACAGGGAATTTTCCAGCCAGGTTGCCTCTTAACCTCTGGTTTGGTTTGGTTTTGCTTGTAACCTCTCACTGTTTGTCTGCAGAAGCCCAATTTTTTCATTTTGATTTGATGTATTTTTATATTTTTTGTATTTTTAAATTTTTTCTTTCAGTGACAGGGTCTTGCTGTGTCTCCCAGGTTGGAGTGCAATGGTATGATCATAGCTCACTGCAGCCTGAGCCCCTGGGCTCAACCAATCCCCTCACCTCAGCCTCCTGAGTAGCTGGGACAAAGGCACACACAGCCATACACCAGCCACACACAACTAATTTTATTTTTTATAGAGACAGGGTCTGGCTACATTGCCCTGTCTGGTCTTGAACTCCTGGGCTCAAGCGATCATCCCACCTCAGCCTTCCAAGGTGCTGTGATTACAGGTGTGAGCCACTATGCCTGGCCTTAATTTGTACTTTTTAGAGACAGGGTCTCTGTCACCCAAGCTGGAGTGCGGTGATGCAATCATAGCTCACTGCAGCCTTGAACTCCAGGACTCAAACAGTCCTCCCACCTCAGCCTCCTGAGTAGCTGGGACTACAGGTGCGCACCATCACACACTCAGAGCCCAACTTTTTAAATGAGAGTTTGTCTTGAAAGGCTATCTGCAACTCTTCAGGAATGCCCTACTCTGTAGCTAATGAACGTTCAACCCACATGACTTTGATGTTGCTAGAGACCCCATCTTGTTATTTTCCCCCATTTTAGAAATGAGGGAACTGAAATTCAGAGAGTACAAGTAACCTGCCCAAGCTGACAGGCTTAAAAAAAAAGAAAGAAACAAAACTCAGGCCTGAGAGCAGAGTGTGTGCTCGTAAAAGACCCCAGCATAGGGTCTTTCTTCCCCGTGGGTGATAGAGCAAAGGTTTTGGAGTCAGATTGGCCTGAATTCAATTCCAACTTCAGGGTCTTGCTTAAAACAGGAGATGACAATACCCACTTCCCTGGGTGGTGGCGAGAATCAAATGAGGCTTTTAAAAACGTGCATAATGCCTTTATCTCAGGGCTCGGCACACAGTAGGCGATCAATAAAGATTAGGTTTTCCTCTCTCCTCCACACTCGTCTTTCCTCGGCCACATCCCCAAAACACTCACATGAACCTGAGCTCAGACTCCCGGCGGACCAAGACTTCCCGGAGACGCTGAATTTTTGCCATCTCCAGCTCAATCTCCTCCGGCATCATGGTTGTCTCCGCCATGGAGATGATGTCCAGCTGATCTGTGCAGGAGACACGAAACGCAAGCATCAGGACCCCGAGGCTGCACCGTGGGACCCACCCTGACATGGTTTCAGGGCACAGCCTTGCTCCGCCACCGTCATACGCCTTGAGGACACACAGACTTCAGCCTGTGCCGCAAATGTGTATTCGTGAGCACGCCCTTTGGAAACCAGAAAGACGGAGTCTCGCTCTATCGCCCAGGCTAGAGTGCAGTGGCGCAATCTCAGCTCACTGCAAGCTCCGCCTCCCGGGTTCACGCCATTCTCCTGCCTCAGCCTCCCGAGTAGCTGGGAC